ACCTAATTGGTCAAGAAGAGATCCATAACATTATCGTCTTTATCTCTAAGGACTCCACCCTGACTAGTTGGGCTTGATTTAACTTTAGTGCAGTCGTCGATATTCAACTTTAGTTCATCATCCTCGAAAGGCATCCAAACAGTCCCTTTTCTAGGATCTTCACCAGCAGCCTATCTCATTAATTGCAACATCTTTTCAATAGCATTGATCGAGAATGTTGCTCTCATTTTAGTCATGAACACCAGTTCTTCTTTATCCAATTTTTTGACATTAAAGAACAATAATTTCTTGGAAGCCAAATTGACCAAAAAGTCACTCCAACAACTGCGAGCCTTCTTTTCCTCAATCAGCTGTTTAGCATCAAGTCTTCACAATACCTTAATGGTACAAAAGTGGAATATGGAGATACCCATTTGAAGCCCCACTAATAAAAAATGTAGCACCACACTGACTAGGAAAACATGCAAGTAATGACTGTGTGTTCGCACACTTTTTCATACAGCTCACACCGACAACTTGCAAATTATTGTTCTCCAAAGAAATTCCTCTAACTTTCAAAAGCTTAGGGATACACTCCAAAAAAGCCAACCATATATAAGTGACATTGAACTGAAGGATAAAATGTACTTCCAAATAGAAAGGTGTAGCACCTCGTATCCTCGTAGAGGAGTCAATAAAATTGTATATATAAGTGACATTGAACTGAAGGATAAAATGTACTTCCAAATAGAAAGGTGTAGCACCTCGTACCCTTGTATAGGAGTCAATAAAATTGTATTGGTAAGACGACGGCTCAATTGACATAAATTGAAGTACCAAAGAGTGGTGATGGGTGAAAAAAATATTTTGAAATAAAATATTTCGTATGGGAGAGAAAGTAATTAAATAATAATATTATTAACAGGAATGAATTAGTAGGTTAAAAGATAATTTGGAAGTGAACCGAGACAAAGTGAGATACTTTGAGACCTAAGGAGTCAAGTGGAGAATTTTGAAATAAAATAATATTTTATTAATAAAATAATATTAAAATATTAAAATTTTATCTACTGTTGGAATTAGTCATGAAAGAGGATTTTGAAGAAAAATTATGTTAGTGGGGCCTGCATGTCTTTATTAAATAAAGCTAGCGCAAGTAAGTATATATTTAAATATTATGGTGATACCTTGGTGAAGTGAAAATTTTATATTTTGTTTGTAAACATGTAAGGAGAGGAAAATGGGAGGAAATTGAAATTTAAAAAGTGTTGGAAGGACCAAATTGTGAAGAATGAAAGGTTTGGAGGATGACATGATAAATAAAGAAAAGTTGGAGGACTTATGTGCAATTCCAATATTTGAAGTAAAATGGGCATTTACTAACCAAGGGGAGTTAAATTATGTGAAATGTGAGATATACATGTGAAAGTTACTATTACATGCAAACTATGGTGCGAAAAAAAAAGAGTTAGTGGAGGACATATGGGACCTCCACCATGTGAAGTAAAAGAAAGAATAAAATTAAAATTTATTTGCATGTAATGTGATTGGTGCATTAAGTGGTCAAATGAAGAAAGAAGAAAGTGGGTTGCATGTGTCATGAATGGTCAAAGGGTGTCTAAATAAAATATAAGGTGAATATGGGAGATAGAATAAAGAAATAAAAAAAAATGGAAAGTGAGGTGGAGGGAGGAAAGGTTTCAAAAGCCTTTGCCTTGTGATTTTAACCCCATAAAA